GGACTTTACTCAATTAAGTCAATGTTCTGGATTCGCACGTTACACTGAATATTAAGCTAATCATAGCGGGTGAGATCACACAACATGCTTCGTTAAAACATGATTGGCCAGTAAGTTCACGGTTAGTGCGCCGTATGATTGCAACCACCGACTGAGAGCACTCTAGCTTTTCCCAACTTGACGCCCATCTAACGCGGTTGGATTGCAGCTTCTTCCCGGACAGCGTGGCCAAGGGTGCCACCAGAGAAAACCTGCTGCAGTGGTTCAGGCTTCTCCACGCAACTGGTACGGAGGAACTGAGTACGGCAAGACCTTGTACGGGCAAAATATGTATTTTACTACTAAGCTATATGCCGAAACCAGGGAAGGGGAGAATTCTTGCAGATTAAATATGGATGGGTTCAAATACACAACTACAAGCCACAAACCACTTATTCCGGAGCAGCGCTAACAGTGCAGTCCTATATATTTGCATTTAGGTGTTGGTTCGGTTCAATTCAATGGAACCTATTTCCCAAGTAGCGAGGATAACAATAATTGATCATGATGTGCCATCAACTCGTTGTCACCATTCCCAATTTCGTGTCTTCCGCTGGCTAAGAACCTTGGTAATTGGGAATGCAAAGGTATCCGGGGGGTACCGTATGCCAAGGGAAAACATGGGGTGCAGTACTGTAGCGCCTGCGAAAAAAGCGAGATTTTTAACTCTGGCGCCCCTATTCCCAAACAGCTGAGTGCCGGTGTCCGCAGCAGCAGGCCAGCAAAAAGACCATGAGATTCACGCAGCCAGAGTTTCCCGCTCTGCCTTCTCGGGTTGCCGATTGTTACACGGCCGTTCGGCTCTGTAAGCGGGGGAGGGGAGGAGAGGGGACTCGAGGTCCACACGTGCCTTTGGGAGGAACTGAGACTTCTTTGGATCAGAGCGCACTTTGATGTCTTTGCCGGGATGCTAAAGTGGCTGAGGGGATTATAGTCTTCACCAGGGACGCTATCGGGTACAATCTCTACCGCCAGCCCTATGCAATGTTAAAAGATCCGCAGGAGTGAACTACTGGCGTTCAGGGCGCAGCGGGCGGCTGCGAGCGAAGAATCGGCTTCTCTAAGCCTTCCTGCACGGCTGCCGTGGCAACATCTCCCCCTCCCCATGTAGCATAGAGCTGAATGGAAACGTCCTCTGCTCTTCTGCCATTGGCCTGCAGATATCGACGTAGACTACTATTGGGTAGCGTAAAGGGGAGAGCCCTCCTTTAGGAATGTACTATGGCTTGTCTGGCATTTTTCTCTTCTGGGGAGGGAGGGGTGAGGAGCAGCTCCCTTCTCTTGCCCCGCGAGGCTAAGGCCGCGCTCGTGCGGGTAGGACGATCCAGCGCTTTAAGCTTCCTGTGCTGCGGCGCTTGGGGTCCGCGTGCCGAGCGAAGAGACGGCCGACCCCGCACCGGATTTTCGACGGAGGGAAGCCCAGCCTTGTGTGCACCATCCAGAGCCAGCCAGTCACGTGAAGCCCGTAGCCCGCCTCCACGGCCTTCCCCTCCCTTCTCTGAATGTGCGGTCCTTTCTAGCTCCCCTCCAGTTTTTCCTTCAATGAATACACAGAAGTTTGCTCCTTAAAGCGACACTACCCCGTTTCATTCTTTCATTTAACGCTACGCTCTTGTAAGATCGCGGAGCTCCAAACTGCACGCGTGCAGACCCGTGTGTCGAGAAAGGAAAGCAAACAGAGCTTGTACATTCTTCAGGCAGAGCTCCCTGATCTAAATCCTTCATGGCGGATCAAATAACCAGGACGGGCACGTGCGAAATGCTCGTCAAAATAATAGGCAATAGAGCCCCAAACTGATCAGAAAAATAGGAAATCGACCCCACTGACGTCACCTAGGAGAACAACTACCGAATTACTGTACTTTGATGGAACACAAAACATTAATAAAGCGCGCACAATATATTCTCTCTGGGAATCTTCGCATGCGACGCTTTTTAAAAACCGAGCGTTCTGAACGCTCAAAAACGCAGGGCTGGCGGAGCATTTCTTAAGAGCTCTAGCGTTTAAAATATCCGCCGGCGGCAGTAGTCTTGCGTGTGAGTGAGTACTCCGGGTTTTAAATTTGTTAGTTCAAGTATTAAGGTTTCTTTGTGGTCTTTTTCTTAACGCGGCTGGTTGTTCTTGTAGGAACGCGGACTTTTCTTTGATTCAAAAAGGAGAAAGGGGGAGACCGCAGGATCCACCACCCTGTCATTATTTGTGCAACCCTGGGAATTCAGCTTGGACCTCCCAGGAATCGTTGCTGCTTGAGGCCAACGTGCCTCTAAAGGGACTTTCTTGAAGGGCTCCGGAAATCATTTACTCTCTTCTTTCGCGCGCTTCCCCCCCCCCCC